CTTTTTATCGTCGCTCTTAGCCAATCAAAATCGAGGATCTGCCGGTCCAAATTTGTTGCGGCAGCTATGGTTAATTGGATCACATAATAGTTGGTTTCTATATTCTCTCGATCATCTATGCATAAACCACTTTTTGTAACCATTTTTGTACTTTGTACTTTGTTGATATCTTACCTGAACTGGTAAAAATAAAAAATAGCGTAAAAACTACGTCTTTAAACTAATCGTTCTACAACTTTTAAAGGAATTGATTAGTTTTTCGTATCATTCGATTCCTCTTGGTGGGACGAATCGAATAGTACTAAAATTATTCAATTCTAATCAGTGGATCGCAAGATATTGTCAAAAAATATATGCGTAGCGTACCACAATACCCCCTGTACCATAATACCCGTACCTCCCTTAGATACGTATTACTTGTAACTTTAATCAAAGTTGTAGACTATTTCTGTATTTAGCCAAATCAAAGGCTAAATCATATTCATTTTGAGAGAATATCTTTGTGTTTGCATAAAGATAAAAGGAAACTGATTTATTAGTTTCTTCAACACTATGAGTCAAGCAAATTCAACAAATATTTTAGGTGAATAAGAAAAATAATAAAATAAAAAAATTTATTTCTTTATTATTAATCTCTAGACCCGATATTAAATCAAGTTTCTTATGTTCTTAAAGATTCTAATTCTCAAGTTTTAAAACTCGAGAATTTCTCCTTTGAGGCTTCTTCAGAGCTTGAGAAAGCTCCTCATGAAATCTGTAAGCAAAGCTTTTCTAAAAATGAAGGTAAATAATATTCACAATATTCGAAATTATTTAACTTTGTGGAAGAAATAAAGTATTAGCAATTAGATTATTTGGCAACTACTATAAAATATAATATCCGTGAAAATAAAAGTTTAATTCATTCTTAAATGCATTAAAAATACTAGCTAATGATAGTACAATAGTAAACGGAAATAATAATATCGATGACCCAAGGAATTGGTCTTCAAAAAAGAAATGGTTAATTTTGACTATCGCAACTCTCACAGGAATATCGATGCCTATTGCAGTAACGTGAGTTTATTATTTTTTTTTCTTTTTATAAAATAAAGCAATGTCATATAAAGTTGATTTCTTAAAATTATGAGTCAGTAATCGTTTGTAAACTTTATCAGCTGACCCAAATTTATGAGATCAATTAATATTCTATTTATACCCGACAAAGGTATATATTATGCCGAGTACATCAACGTATCAGGGAACGTATATACGTACATTCTACACACTTCATAACTTAATAAGCGATAAAATTACTAAGGTCTAAATATTGTTGAAAGTGATATTCATTGAAGCTAAATACCACATTACCGCGAAATAACGCGCAGGGGTGAAATTATGAATTCCGGCCTAAATTAAGCTTAATTCGGACCGAATCTCGAAATAACGCCCATGGTTATTTCGCATATTTCGCATTTTAAGTTAAAATTATGTGAGTGTATAGGTAAAATTACCTTTCACCATTTTTTTATTAATACCCAAAGATCGTTTTAAACTACGCCTTTTTTTTTATCTAGGTTTGTATTTTCGCTGATTCAAGTTAGTCGGGAATAGAAACAGATTTAATTTACTAAAGATCCTGGTGAATAATATAGTTTATTATTTGAGTGCTAGGAAGGGAAATCCTTATATCTGTTTGTAGAATATATATGATTATAATAATATTTTAGATGTTAATCAACTATGCTTGATTTGTTATTCACGTAACGAAACGACTGGAATGATTAGTTGGACCTTTCTTTTAATTATATGTATTCTATAAATAATTTTTCGAAAACCCGCGTTCTGTTATACAAAAGATATTCCAATCCCCTGTCTTCTAAAAAATCGACAATTTCTGTCCATCGACTTAGTCAATCTGATTGGAAAGAAAAAATTTATAGGCATATTTGATCATGACATTGCAAAAAAAAAGGTCAATAGAATAATATCCCTACTCACTAGGCTAAAAAAAAAAAAAAATTATTTAAATTTTAAAATTTAGGATTACCATTCCCACACTCGTAGTGGTGCAAGAAGAATTTAATGCTTCCATTTTAACTATTGATGCTTTTGGTAATATTCAATAAAATTTAAGTAAAATTTATGAAAAGAAATAGAACAAAAAATTCATATAAACATGATTAATGATTAATTAGACTGAATTCTCTTATATTTTAATTTTATTTAACTTGCAGGTTCTGTGTATACAATTTTCTTAGGAATAGGGGTAAAGTGTAATTTATATACTATAAAATATTTCACTTTTATTTTCTTATATTTATAATGACATTATTCATTATTATAGCCAATAGTTTTTGCTGCTTATTCTGATGAATTCGCAACAAGAAAAAAAGTATATATCGCTTCTCTTCTGGTATTTATTTTAGCATCCGTGGTGTGTGCAATCGCAACAAATATTTGGTTGTTAATAATAATGCGCGCCGTTCAAGCTTGTGGTAATTCTGCTGTATTACCGCTTGGTGCTGGAATTATAAGCGACATTTATTTTCCACTCGGTAAGGTTACTACTGTATTATGATTTAAATTATGCTTAACGATAATTTTTATATGCTTAATTTGTAAATTTAATTTATTAATTTACAGAGAGGGGACGTGCATTTGGGTTATTTTATTTTATTTTTTGGTTGGGTCCCACTCTAGGTCCAATTTTTGGTGGTTTCATTACCCAATATCTTAGTTGGCGTTGGAATTTTTGGCTTCTGACAATTTTTGGTAGTGTCCTCCTTTTTTTGATATTATTCTTCCTTCCTGAAACTTTTAATGCAGATTCCTTAAAAACTAATCCAAGTTCAAAGTTTAATCCAATTTCTCCATTAAAATTACTTAAATATCCAAATATCACTCTTGTTATTATATATATATGCATATCAACTTTATTAATGCACATTCAAGGAATTAGTATTCCTATAAATTTTTCTGCACGGTATAATTTTACAACTTCACAGATTGGTTTATTCTTTATCTCACAATCCTTCGGGCTTATGTTTGGGAGTATATTAGGAGGAAAATATTCGGATTATTTAGCGCAAAAATCATTGATTACTGAAGAATATTGTCCCGAAATAAGAATAAAAAGTGCTTGGTTTGGATCATTATTAATTCCAGTAACTTGCTTCATTTATGGATGGCTATTAGAAATCAATTTTAACATTTATGTATTGGGAATCTTATTATTTTTATGTGAGTTTAACATTAATATTATTGTTGTTACTTTATTAAAATAATTTGATTAAATAGCATTGTCTTTTTTATAAAGGTGCATTTGGAATGTTAAGCACACTTAGCACTTTATCTACATATCTTGTCGATTCATGTCCTGGACGTGGTGCTTCGGTTATGGCAATAACTAGTCTTTTTAGATTAGCTATACCTGGTATCATAATAATTTTTGAAACTTCCATTGAAGAAAGTTTGGGTGTTCGCTGGACGTTTATTTTAATCAGCATAATATGTTTTCTTAGTATATTATTACTAATTATTGTATACATTAACGGAAGGAAATGGAGATCTAATTTTGTTGATACAATCTAATGTACAAATTATTTTAAATTACCATACCGATATTTGAGAAAAATAAATAGCAAAATATATAATATATTATATTTCTAAAGTAACTTTTGATTCACAAGTTTTAAGTAATTTATAATGAAATAAATATTCGAGTTGATAAAAAATTTCTCATAAATTAGTTGTCAACTATAGTTGTAACTAGTCAATTATGAAAAATTAAGTAATTCTGCTGCTTCGTTGACATTTTATTGTTTATTAGTTTCAGTAAATAGCATCAGAAACAGGGTGTAAACTAACGGAATTTTGGTAAGTTACCAAAATGGTTTAAGTTACCAGTAAATCACGATAAGTTACTGAAGTAACATATATTTTATTTCGAAAGTATCTATACATACAATCACAATATTTTTCGATTATGGTCGCATATTTCAAGCAAGCATTGGTAACTTACCGGTAGCTTGTTAAATATAATTGAAACTGACTTCTCCCTATCATGAGCTTGGCATATTGGTCCTGTGATATTCAGGTCCAAATTAAAATAAGTATAAATAAAACGCGCTGATAAATGATAAATCACAAATTGGCGCGTTCTGGCTCGTCTGACACTTTTTTTGAAGATGCAGGCGTGAGTATGAAGATCATTTATTAATTCTGAAATTAATATAATTTTATAACTAAACAATAACATAAATCAAAAATATAACTACTTATTTGCTATTAATCTGCAAATCATTTCGTTCTCATTAATTTGAATCATCCAATGATTGCCGTAACCAGTTACGACATAAGCTTTAGCTAGTTACGGTTTAAGCCGTAACATCAATGGGACGATTCGCCTGCACCTCTAGATGAGGCTAAGTATGTCACCACGAGCATTTTATGCTCACATGATTGTTTGTGAAATACATATACCAGGAACGTTAGTGTATGGTTTTACTGGCATCTAAAACGAAGGCAAAATCTTAAAGCTGATTGGTGCATATTT